GGGGAGATGGCTTAGTAGAATAAGTGCTTACCTCGCAAGCACAAAGGCCTGAGTTCAATCCCCGGTTCCGCAAAAAAAGAAATAATAATAAAAATAAAACTGTTATACAGGTCTACCACAATCCAAATCAAAATACCAGCAGTAGTGGCCAGGCATGCTGCTGCACCCTGGTAATCCCAGCACTCAGAAGGCTGAGGCAGGATTGTTGAGAGTTCAAGACCAGCTACAAAGTGAGCTCAAGGCCAGCCTGAACTGCACAGTGAGACCCTGTCTCAAAAGAAAACATCACCAACAACAAAACCACGTGCTGAGATGGCAGTTGAGACTGGTTGTGGTGGTGCATGCCCACAATCTCAGCTCTTGTGAGGTTGTAAACAGGTTGTAAACAGGCAGATCACTAGAGTCTGATCTAGTAGCAAGACCCTGAACACCCTGTAGACCCTTCCCTAAAATACAAAAACAAACAAAAGCCAACAAAACCAACTGTTCCTCATAGAATTAGGGAAAACAATCCTAAAATTCACATAGAACCAGAAGAGACTTAGAGCAACAAAAGCAATTTGGTGCAAGAAGGGCAAGGCAGGGCATGACAATCCCTGATTTGAAGTTATAGTACAAAGCTACCCTGATTAAAACAAACAAACTAGGGACCGGAGAGATAGCTCAGTAGAATAAGCGCTTGCCTGGCAAGTACAAGGGCCTGAGTTCAATCCCCGGTTCTGCAAAAATAGATAAATAAATAAATAAAATTAAAACAAACAAACAACAACAACACATGAACAGTATTGTATTGGGGGGGCACAGACTCATGGATCAATGGACCAGAGTGGTGGATAGAGAAGCAACTCCAGGCATGCTCAGCTATCGTATCTTTGACAAGGGGCCAAATATTTTTTTAGAGTGTAATGAGTCAACTCATGTTTTAGATTATAAATGTAAATCTTGTGCTTTCTGTTGTACAGGTATACTCACCACTGTTCTAGGTTGTTTAGTAACTAGTGGCTGTTACTTGCTGTTTGCTAGATAAAATTCCTACCTAACCAATCCCTGTAAACAAAGTTAGATTACAGAGATGGCTTCATAAGGAAACCAAATGGGATTTAACTTCTTGTAACCTTGGGCTATGCAAGAT